ATGCAGAAATGATGAGGCCGAGCAGAGCGGAGAGGAGCAGAGCGGAGATGAAGAGCTGTGGTGCGGACAGGTGGAGATGGGTGCATTCTCATCTGTGTTAAGCATTTGGGTTTGTACACGCAAAGTTAAAAGGTGCTGCTTTGGATTTTTACCGTCTACCTATTGTGCCTGTGTCTGTTGTATCATTATAATAAATGACTCCGGTGGATCATTATGTTGTAAAAGGAACTAATCTGCTGACATGTGCAGCAGAAAAGAGTTGTGAAGTTGTTGGCACCTCCTATGGACAGCTGCACATCACAGTAGCGATTTTTTGTTTGTTTGTTTGTTGTTTTTTATTTATCTAAATGCCTATGAGATGCGTATCACAGTGTTAGAGCCACAATTTAATTTATTAAAAAGTTATTTTATATTTTACCATAAATTCATATTTTATTATACCTTAAAAACAATTATTAAATATTATTCTTAAAATTATAGAAATGTTAAAATGATTTATTTTCAGTCCCAATTTAAGTTACTTTAGTCAATAAGTCTTTTGGTTTATAGCGTAAGAGGGTGGGTCCTAGGGAAATTAGGTCAAATAATCAGGTCAAATAGGGAGACAGGTGTGTGTGGACTATGGCATTGTGGAGGGCGACCGACACGGTCTTTGATTGCTCCGCACTGCACCGCATCGCACTGAACTGCATACGCAAACGCTGAAAATCTGCAAATAAAAGAAATCAAACTAACTACGGACTACGTGAGTTTTTGTACATTTCGTGTGAGTCAAGAAGCGGACGCCCTAATGACGGCTATTTACATGTGTTACAGCTCATGTTAAACTAGAAGCCATAACACACAGATTAAGAAAAAGAAATTGACCAATAAAGTAAGTACAGAGCAGTGGGCGTGTAACGGTGGCATTGAAAACTGGAGTTGATCAGCAAAATGGGGTCTTGAAAACAAGTGATTAAAGCAGACATGTCAGACTTATATTTGACCTGTGATACAATTATATTTGGCCCATGAGATCATATCAAATATGTATTAGAGCTGCCCGCCGGCAACAGATCGGCTACAGGGACATTATTTATTTATATTATGCTTGTTCTGGATTCAATGTTTAAGCAAAACTATTATAAAACATTTAATTTAATAAGAAAAGTTTTCACATTACATATCTCGAAAGAAGAGAAAACACGCAGATGTTGATGAAATTTTTCAATAAATATTTAGTTTGGCCCACAAATTAGTCCCAGTTTTTAATTTTGGCCTCTGTGAATTTGAGTTTGACACCCTTGGATTAAAGATTGCTCAAACATGCACGAACCACTCCAAATACAACTTGTACAACTGGTTAAAAGGTCTAAAAAGTCAAATTTGCATAGTAGGCGCACCTTAAAATTCAAAATTTTTACTGTTGTGTTATGGGTCATTTGTTTTCATTGCAAACCTGTTACTATCTCTAAAATGTGGGCCTGGACAGACATTTCTACTGCTACTGTTATCTATAAAGTACTTACATCACTTGAAGTAGCAAAAAACAGGGCCTTTAAACCCTAAACTTTGAACTACCCAATGTCCCAGGCCATGTAGTGCTACAGAGCAGGATTAGAGGCGAGCGAGCTAACTTCAGGGTCAAGCTTCGGCTAATCTCTTCTACAATAGAAGGACAAGTGTAGTCTGAAGCAGGTTAAGGACAGGGCGGACAGGACAGACAATGAGAGAAAAGCCAGCTGGAAATAAAGGCTATAGAGTAGTTTGAGAGCGGCTTCAAGTACAAGACGTTTTGAAAATAAATTTATATTTTTTTTCGTCTGACTGCGGTAATGAATAGATGCATCAAGAATCTCGGACTTCCGGTCATTGCGCAATGCAAACTGGGAAGGATTTTCTGAAAAAGTGAGCATCAAACCGCCATGTTTGTTTTCCCAGTGGGATGTGTCTATTGACAAAGCCAATCTTTCCTAGTCTTTTGAACCATATCGCTTTTGTTTCTGGTTCTGATATCATCATATTTTAGTTTTGGGATTCGGACATTGTAATTGTGTGGTTGTTGGATGTCTTAACACTGGAAAACAGCTCGAGAAATTTGTTTGCAAACTCCATAAATGCAAAAGGGAATCAGATCTGTATGACTGCAAACCTCCGTTCAAACTGTTTCGCTTCCCAATGGAATTGAAAAATAGTGAAAGGCGAAGGCGATGGGCAGTATTCATCCACGGGAAGGACGAAAAAGGTAACCACTGGCTGCCTAAATCATACCGAGTTTGCAGCAAACTTTTTGTAGGTGGAGAGCCATCAAAGCAAAATCCCGATCCCTTGCTCCACCTTAGTTAGGGATTTAAAAAGACTACACCAAAGAGAAGGGCACCAGCTCTTTGCCAAGAAACACCAAGAAAAAAAACCACTGCAAAGCGACCAAGATGTGATGTTGCTGTAAAACCACAAGAACAAGAAACTGTGAGCTCAGCCTGTTTGTCTTCTGTAACTCTCGCTTAACAAACGGGATCTCGCTTTGTTGGAGCGCCACATACAAAATGTTCACTGCAAACTCACGATGATTTCTTAGGCAGCTAAAGGTTTCCTTTTTCGCCCTTCCTGTGTATCAGTACTGCCCATCGCCTTCACCTTTCACTATTATTCAATTCTGTTGGGAAGGGAAACCGTTTGAACGGAGGTTTGCAGTCACACAGATCTGATTCCCAACAAATTTCTCTCATTTTCCGCTGTTAGGGCATCCAACAACCTCACAATTACGATGTCCAAATCCCAAAACTAAAATATGACAATATCAGAACCAGAAACAAAAGTGATATGTTCAAAAGACTAGAAAAGACTGGCTTTGTCAACAGACGCATCCCACTGGGAAAACAAACATGGCGGTTTGATGCTCACTTTTTTTGGAAAATCCTTCCCAGTTTGCATTGCGCAATGACCAGAAGTCCAAGATTCTTGATGCATCTATTTAAGTAATGTGGTAATGTGTCTCTTTCCATTTGTACTCAAAATATCCAAGTAAAACTCTAAGGTTGCAGAGTAGAGTTTTATCCTTCTTATCTATTTTATTTTATTTGATACTTGGTAACACAAGGTCAGAATGGGGACTTTCTGGTGGTCCATCATTAGGTCTGGCACAAAATCCACAAAAAAATATTGATTTGTGTTATTTATTTTGTTCTTCAAATTTTTGTTGTCTGTCCTTTGAAAATAAAAATGAAAGACTGTGTGCTATTCAATATTTTGTCCTTCCAATTAATTAACAGTAAATTGGGATGTTACGATGAGACCGTTACTGCTCCAGAGAGTCGTGCTTTCCCCAAATATATTTTTACTCTTTATTTCTTGGGCCACAACCTTTTACTTCTACTATCATTTAAATGTAATGGTACTCTAACTTTTTTGGCTTTTTTGGCAGTTCTCTAAACAGTAGTGTTATTAGTCGTTGTAGGTTTCATCTTTTTATACTTTGGGTGTTTTAGAATTTCAATTTGTTATAACAGAATTTATTTTGGCTCTACATGTTTGGTTTGTTTTTTTTTACCTTGCACGTCACATGTTATAACACCAGACGTTTTTTTTACTTTTTACAGATTGATACTTTACAGTGACATGAGTTTAGGGGGTTCTGCATGCACGTCTATGGCAAAATGTTCAGTGGTGACAAAGGTCCCATTTAGGTGTTTGATGTTCAACAAAAATGTGAAAATATCCATATATTGTGTCATTTAATGTGATGATACAGTATCGATATCGTGGGCTGCTGTATCAATATATCACCAAGAGTATTTTTCGTATATATTTTATCATTTTGAACGGCGCTACAGTTTTGTTGCTTGTTCAGAGGATGGAAAGTTGTTTACGCAACACATTTGACATTTTCACAGTTTTGATGATTAAAATGTGTGTTTCATATTCACTATGCACAAAAAGCGGTTTGACAAAGACTTTAAGGTTACGTTTACACTGAAACAGAGTACTGTATCAGAAAAGATTTGCGTCCAGACACGTCGTTTCTGTTTCGGTCTTTTCGTGGACTGACAATGAGGTTCAGTTGTTACTGAATGTAACATTGGATTTTCAGATATTTGTTTATTGTATGTTTAAACTGTTTTCTGCAATAGTGTCACATGACTGATGTCACAAACCCAGCGAATCAGGAAGGTGCAAGTCACAGTGACGTGGTCCAATAAAGACGCTAACTAGAGCTCAGTGTATCAACATCAGCGTATCAACGGTTTCAGGCGTCCACACATTGCTGGATCAGATCCGTACTCAGATGAATTCGTGGAGCTGGCAGCACCAGATCGTTACGCCTCTGGAGCCGTTTCCCATGTTTTGCATCCACGACAAAAACAACTCGAATACGTACGAGTGTGGATGGGGCTTTACTATCACAGCTATGATTTAGTCATTATTTTTCACTGAACAGTATCGAATCGATTCAAACTATATCATATTGAACCAAAAGGGAACTGTATCATATCGTGGTGAATGTATCGAGTTATGTATCGTATCGGCAACTTCTTATTGATACCCAGCCCTACTGTGACTTTAATTTTATGTGAGTTTAACAGCACAAATCAACACACCTCTGTAGTTCCAGCTGAGTCAATTATTAGTTAAAACAAAGCTCAGATTAAAGTCTAATTTGAGTAAGAGAGCTTCAGACAGAGCAGTGCCTCCAGTTAGCATCACTATTCCTATTTACAGATATTCTAAAATTGCGACTGTCAGTCAAGATGGCATTTCTTTACGGCTGCCGCAATTCTGACATGAACCCAGCTTAGTTCATATGAAAACCTGGCTCATTAAGAAAGGTAAATCTGAACATTACATAACCGCCAAACAGCACAACGAGCCACACTTTTTTTTTTAGCAAAATTATAAACAACATCCCCTAGCGTACAGGAGCATATAACGTGATTACACTTGTACCGAATAGCTAATTAGCCCCACTTTATTCACATCCTCAGCTAGCGTTTAGTAATCCTATTCCACACTTATTCGCTCACCTTGTTGTCGGAGAGCCCCGTCACTTGGTCCACGAACTCCTCTTGGATCATGAAGGCGGCCAGGTTGGCAGTGTAGGAGGCCAGGAAGATGACGGCGAAGAAGGCCCACACGGAGACTATGAACTTGCTGGTGGTTCCCTTGGGGTTCTGGACGGGCACGGAGTTGTTGAAGACCAGGCCCCAGAGCAGCCACACGGCCTTGCCCATGGTGAAGGAGGGGCCGTGCGGGTCTGCGGAGGAGAAGCAGGGGGGAGAAAGGGGCACAGCGGGGGGGTAGAGTTTAGAGGTGAGAGCGGAGTGATTTGTATTCAAGCGTGAGTGGAGAGGTGTGGTTTAGTTTGAGCTGTTGTAGGGCACGGGGTGAAGCTGATAACAGTGTAGATTTAAAGGTCTTACATTACACAAAATTGATTCTTGTGAGCTGGAAGCCATGTTGTAATGTTGTTACCTCTTCAAAAACATACCTGGACTTGTGTTTTGTTTCATTCACACATGTTCGAGTAACCTTTTATTATTAATCTGTCCACGTTTCCAAAGCTCAGAATGCTCTGCTCCACTTTGTGACGTTGTGTAGTTGTAGTTTTCAAGTTAACAGCTACATTTTACCTTTTTTTTCAGTAGAGATTGGAAATTCCAGGGCTGAAATGATCCAAATGATTCTAGTGAAGGTGTATGGAGTTTAAAAACACAGTGGAGCACGTCCCGTATTATCACACACAAGGTGGAACAGAGCGTTTTCTGTTTGTATGCAGGATTTGTGCGTTAAACATGTGTGAATGAAACAAAACAGCGCGTGGTCTGTTTGTGATGAGGAAACATTATAACATACATCAGAAAAAACATAATATAGTCGGCCCTTTACGTGGAAAAATCTAAAATGTTAGAGTGAAATAAAATGTAAATAAATACATAAGTAAGACATCTTTGCTTTCTCATGTAAAATACTGTTGCTTATAGAAACTTCATGGTCATCTAGGACTATACGGTTCGTGTTTTGTGTTAATTTTTTTTTTTAACTATTATATCAAGACATCTACCCATGCACAAATATATTACAAATTTTGACCTTCATCTATCTGTGACAATGTTCAAACCAAATACCAAATACAATCATAATGTGACATGATGGTCAAGTTTAGGGCTGTGCAAAAATATTGAAATATCGATATATGGTAGCGTTTAATGTGCTGGTACAGTATCGATATCGTGAGCATATTTTTTGTTATATTTTACTAAATTATCTACAGTTTTGTTGCTTGCTTAGTGGAAGGAAACATGTTTATGTGACACATTTAATATTTTCAGTGTTTTGATGATTAAAATGTTTGTGTTTCATATGAACTTTGCACAAGAAGTGGTTTAACAAAGACTTTTAGTGTCAGAGCCATGATTTAGTCTTTATTTTTTATTGAACCGTATCAAATCTATTTGAAATATGCTGTGTTAAATCGAAAGTGCACTGTGTGGAGATCTGTATCATATCGTGGCCTGTGTATCGAAGTATGTATCGTATTGGCAACTTCTTAATGAAACCCAGCACTGGTCAAGTTGTTGATGTTGTCATTTGGTGTTGTGGTTCTCAAGACAGAATGAGTTGTCAGTCCCACAACTAAAAAAAGCTGGAAAACCAACTAAAAGAACTATCTAATCTGAATGGTCACGGCCTAAACCCCAGTGCTAGTGCAGCCTCTGCATCTCAGGGAGGGAATTCTAGAGGTTCTGAGTTCTTATGTGAGGCAGAGTCTGTCCCTATACTGAGACAAACTTGTGTCCTCTATATACAGATTTTGAGTAGTGCTTTATGAGTGAGTTGTTTGATTTTTGTTTTGTGTTTGTGTTGGCTGCCACAGTTAACGTTCAAGCACCAATCAGTGCCTCTCAACTCACAAACTTATCTGCTCAGTGGGCAGAAAACTGCATTTCACAGTGGTTCTATGCAGCCTATTTGTGTATAAAAATGTTTTTCAGAAACAGAGTTTGCAGTGTTGGTTTTAGAAAGTTTTTATGTTTATTTCAATAGACAATCTGAACAGTGTTGGGGAGTAACAGGTTAGATAATCAGAGTACAAATTATGAGTAACTGTATTCAGTTACAGTTACTGTTTCAGTGAGTGGTAATTGGATTACAGTTACTTTGTTGAAATAAACGGATTACACTGCGGTAGTTTCCTCTTTTCACATTTCGGGCTATATCCCTTCTTTTTTTTAATCTTCAGTAATTCCACTCATTGCCGGACATTAAACCAGGTCCAAACCAGGTCTAAACCAGGTCCTAAACCAGGTCTAAACCAGGTCCAAACCAGGTCTAAACCAGGTCTAAACCAGAACTAAACCAGGACTAAAACCAGGTCTCAACTAGGTCAAAACCAGGTCAAAACCAGGTCTAAACCAGGTCTAAACCAGGTCTAAACCAGGTCTAAACCAGGTCTAAACCAGGTCCAAACCAGGTCTAAACCAGGTCTAAACCAGAACTAAACCAGGACTAAACCAGGACTAAAACCAGGTCTAAACTAGGTCAAAACCAGGTCTAAACTAGGTCAAAACCAGGTCTAAACCAGGTCTAAACCAGATCTAAACTAGGTCTAAACCAAGACTAAATCAGGTCTAAACCAGGTCTAAACCAGGTCTAAACTAGGTCTAAACCAAGACTAAACCAGGTCTAAACCAGGTCTGAACCAGGTCCAAACCAGGTCTAAACCAGGTCCAAACCAGGTCTAAACTAGGACTAAAACCAGGTCTAAACTAGGTCAAAACCAGGTCAGAACCAGGTCCAAACCAGGTCTAAACTAGGACTAAACCAGGTCTAAACCAGGTCCAAACCAGGGCTAAACCCAGACTAAACCAGGACTAAAACCAGGTCTAAACTAGGTCTAAAACAGGATTAAACAGGACTAAATCATGCTGCGTGGACCGTGTCTCCTCCTCTTCTATCAATAATATTTTTTATTTGGTTCAGTAAAGTCTGGGTTTTTTTATTGTCTTTTATCAGACAAAACATCTTATGTGAAGATTTCCGAGTCTTTGCTTCTTTACAGCAAATCAAGTAATCCAAAGTATTCAGATTACGTTACTCACTTTAAGTAATTTAATGGATTCTGTTACAAACTACATTTTGGGGTATGTCATCTGTAATCTGTAGGGGAATACATTTTAAAAGTCACCTTCCCAACACTGCCTGTGAGTAGTTTTGCACATGGCCCTAGCTGACCTCCTTTTGCACACAGGCCTAGTTGACCCCTTACCTTTGCCCTGCGCCAGGTTCCTGTTGAATCCCAGTGGACTGATGTACTCGAACATGAAGACAGCCATTGCAGTGACCAGCAGGAGCATCACGAACATCATGACCCACACTGATGCGCTGAATGGCTCTGCACAGAAGAAGAAAAGAAAAAAAAAAAAAAACACCAATTAATATTAACTATCCACTTCCTTTTTTTACCACCACTTCCTGTTCACTTCCACTCCTGTCTGTCCACACAGTCAATGAATAAATCAATCACACATTTACGTAGCCGCGGGTAACAAGCTGACTCGGGCATGTCCGTAGAGCTCCACGCCCACGCCCTTATATAGCCTCCGTTTGACAGAGAGAGAGAGAGAGCGAGAGAGAGCGAAGGAGAGCGAAGGAGTGGGGGCGGGCGGGCGCCGAAGGAAGCCCTGGTGTCAGCACTCCTGTCCTCCCCCAAGATTAAAACGCCAGAGCTAATGTATGGAGAGCAGAAGAGCAGAGCCGCAACTGTGTGCTCAAAGCGGTGGGTGAGGGAACGAGGGGAAGGTACAGAGAGAGAGAGGAAGGGAGTGCAGAGAGAGAAAGAGAAGGAGAGAGAAGAGGGAGAGGAGTGAGAAAGAAGAGGAGAAAGTGGGAGAGTAGTGATGGTAAGAATCAGGGGTGGAGGGAGAGAAGACAGAGTGAGGTGAGAGAGTGAAGAATGAAGAAAGGTAGAGAAGAGAGGTGAAGATAAGAGAAGAGGATAAGAGAGAGAAGGGAGCGAGAGCGAGAGGTGGAACGGAGGAGTGAGAAAGAAGGGGAGAAAGAGGGAGAGCGGTGATTGTAAGAAGAAGAGGTGGTGGGAGAAGACAGAGTGGAAAGAAGTGAGGTGAGAGTGAGGAAAGAGGAGAGGTAGAGCGTTAAAGAGAAGAGTGTAAGAGAGAGAGAGGTGGAACAGAGGAGTGAGAAAGAAGACAGAGTGAAGTGAGAGAGTGAAGACAGAAGAGAGGTAGAGAAGAGAAGTGAAGAAAAGAGTGTAAGAGCGAGAAGTGGAACAGAGGAGTGAGAAAGAAGGGGAGAAAGAGGGAGAGTCGTAATGGTAAGAATGAGGGATGGTGGAAGAGAAGTAGGAGGGGAAAGAAGTGAGGAGAGAGTGAGGAAAGAAGAGGGGAAGAGAGGTGAAGAGAAGAGTGTAAGAGAAAAGGGGTAAGAGAAAGAGATGGAACAGAGGAGAGATAAAGAAGGAGTAGTGATGGCAAAAATCAGGGGTGGAGAGAGAGGTGAGGGAGTGAGGAGAGGTGGAGAGGTGAAGAGAAGAGTGTAAGAGAGAGAGGTGGAACAGAGGAGCGAGAAAGAAGTGCAGAAAGAGGGAGAGTGGTGATGGTAAGAATCAGGGATGGAGGAAGAGAAGAGGTGAGAGAGTGAAGAATGAAGAAAGGTAGAGAAGAGAGGTGAAGATAAGAGAAGAGCATAAGAGAGAGAAGGGAGCGAGAGGCGCAAGAAAGAAGAGAAGAAAGAGGGAGAGTAGTGACGGTAGGAATCAGGGGTGGAGAGAGAGAAGACAGAATGAGGTGAGAAAAGAAGAGAGGTGAGAGAGGTGAAGAGAAGAGAGTAAGAGAGAGAGGTGGAACAGAGGAGAAAGAGGGAGAGTAGTGATGGCAAGAATGAGAGGTGGAGGGAGAGAAGACAGTGAAATAGTGAGGAAAGAAGGGACAGAAGTGAAGAGAAAAGTGTAGGAGAGAGAGGAGGAACAGAAGAGTGAGGGAAGAGATTGTAAGAATGAGAGATGGTGGGAGAAGACAGAAGGGAAAGAAGTGAGGTGAGATTGAGGAAAGAAGAGAGGTAGAGCGGTGAAGAGAAGAGGATAAGAGCAAGAGGTGGAACAGAGGAGTGAGCGATGGAGAGAGGAGGGCAAGAGAGCGGAGTGGGGCGGAGTAGAGAGAGGAGAGTGGGAATAAGAGAGAGAAGAGGTGGAAGAGAGAGGACAAGAGAGAAAGGGAGTAGTAGAGGAGAGTCGAGAGAGTTACAAGACAGAGAAGAGACAGAAGATTAAGAGAGAAAGGAAAAGAAGTGGCCAAGACTGAAAGAGAACACGATAGGGGAGAGAGAGATGGATTAAAGAGAGAAAGAATGAAGATGGGAGAGCGAGAAAAGTGCGAGTAAAAGAGAGTAAGAGAGAGAGGGACAGAGAGAGGAGAGAGGAGGAGGGTCCACTGGCACGCAGCCATTTCAGGCTTTTCCCGCTAAGTCCTTCTAATTGCCACTTTCCCAACAGAGACAGTCAACAGTGTAACTACATGTCAAGTGCAGGCGTGGGGGCGGGCTCACGTCTATATATACAAGAAGTGTTTGTGTTTTCAATGTTACGGTGAAGTACACACTCTGAGGATGGGGGTACTCCAGGTATTTGGGTCAGGGTGACAAAAGCGTACAATTATTACTATGAAAACAAACATTTCTACTGATAATAACAGGTCATCATATTAAAAGTTGTACGGATAATAGTGATTTTGGCATGAAACAATATTAGGGATGTCAAAAGAATCGAAAAGCTGATACTAATCGATACTAAAACCAGTATTAAAGCTAGATACTCATTCACTGGACATAAATTAACCTTTCCTGAGCAGCTTTAGAACAGGAGTCTCCCACCTGTAGTTCGGGAGCGACCAGTAGCTCTCCACCTGCTTCCATTAGGATTTCTGAATTATATGTAATGTGCTTAATATCTAAAATCGGATTTATTTCCACTGTAAGTTAGTCATTTTGATTCCTAGTTTGTGCACTAATAAATGGATACTGTGCCCTGTTTAAAGCTCGCCATAGCTCTTCTACGTTTTCAATTTCTTGCAATTGCTAAAATAAGTAGATGTTTGGCATTTTTGTTTCAAGACCAGAGGAAAAAGGTTGGAGACTCCAGCTTTACAATGATCTTGAGCTGTATCAGAACAAGTATAAGAGCACATAGACTATTATACGAACATGGACCACTATGGAACCTACCTGGACCACTGAGGGATCACACAGATAGAAGACTACGTGGTAATATAAAAGGAAGTGGTGCGATTTAATGTTAAAAATGATTTGCCACGTTTACATGAGAGCTTTAATTTTGAGTAAATATTTTAAAAAGACCATGTAAACACTTAATTCCTAATGAAAATGATTATTTGTAATTACACTTAATTCCAAAGTAAGTGGCTGGTTTGTTCCGATTTTAAAGTCAAATTCATTTATTCCTCGTTCATGTAAGTGTTTATTCTGAAAAATAATTCTGGTCGTTCAGCGCGTGCTCGTTGGGTCACCACGATCCGGCTCCACCAGTCCTCGCTTCGGACTTTCATCCACTGCTCTTTGGATTTGTGAGAGGGATGTGGGAGTGGGCTGAGGTAGAACAGCCTCACACTCAGTTTGTCTTCTTCCTCCCTTCTCCGACACTCTTCCCTTCTCCTCCTCAACCGACAGACGTAAAGCGTGACGAGAGAATTCTCTTAATTATTATCGGAACGACTGTGAAAAAAGTTTGGATCATGTTTGTGTCTGTGGCGTAACGACAAACCAAGACGACAAAAAAAGTCGGTAGCAGCTGAAGTGTGTGTTTTATTCCAGTCGACGTAAATATGTTTGGGTCCTCGTCCAATTAGAATCCTTCCTGATCCCCAGACGTTCAGCAGAATTAAATAAAGGCGATTTAACGTGTTTTCCATGTAAACTCGAAGGAGAATATTTGAATTCTGAACTATTACATTCAAAACAATTAAGGTAGAATTAAAAAAACATCATGTAAATGTGTTCATTGTTGCATCTGAATTGCTATTGAGCATCCAGTTTATTCCTTTATTTTAATTACTTCATTTTAGTATTATGGCAGCACTAATCAGTTTACACAAAAGTATAAAAATGCATTTAACTTTATCTGATATTGTAGAGCGGAACGTTCTCTAGCTGCTACAAACCAGAGACAGATCGACCAATAATCTCTAATTATGAGGTCAAAGCATTGATTTCGAGGGCAAATTGAATTCACACCAGATTACAACATGTCCTTGAATATCTCTCCCAATAAACAAACGGAAAATAAAATAAAATACTATCTGGACAGCTTTTCAATTGGCTTCAACAATTTGTTCATCACATTATAAATTCGATAAGCAGATGTAACTACAAAGACCATGATCCTTTGCTGTGGAAAGGTGCACTAACTGAGTCATCTGTCATCTTAGAGGAAGGATGTTTTTCAAGACATTTATGAGCAATTAAAACTAAATGAATGCGAGACAGAAAGGTTTAATGCCATATTGTGGAACATTTCAAGCAAAGCAATGGCATCTTGATGGAAAATTAAATGTTCTTTTTTCCCATGTATTATACAAATGTGTCTTGCCCCAGTACAGATCTATTGTAGAAGTAGTTCTCGAGGTCAAAATAAGTCATTAGAATGCGTTTTATTGTCCGATAATCAGGAAGTGTGCAGCAGTATACTAGTTGTTGTTAGCTTTATTATCACAGCAAATGGTTATGGTAAGTACAGAATCATTTTGGACCACTTCAAACTGTTTCAACTCAACTAATTCTGTTTTTAAAGGAGTAAAACTAAGGTACAATAAGGTACTTTAACTAGCCTGATTCATCAGACGGTTTCACTTGGTGGAAACTCTCTGACTTTGCAGCATAAGGATTTGTTCGTTCGGTAGGTGGGTACTTTTTTTATTTAACCAATCGCTGCTATTTTGGTTGTGACATATGTAATGCGCTGCTAACGGGGCTAAATATTAAGATTTTCCCAAATCCCATAGGAAGAAGGACAATAACTTCTTTCCTCTTGATAAAAATCACCAAACATTCTCTTTGTTCCGGCTTTAAATCCTCGATCACGAGAGTCGTTGCCAACAGAGAATGTATGGCTCTTCGATGATTGGCTGGTGCCCGGACTCGCACTTCCGGGGTTCTTGCAAACCGTCTAGTGTATTCCAATTCCTGACCTAGTCACTGGAAAGAAATGAAACTGAGCAGAGGCACTAGGTGGCACCAGTCTGACTATACTTTAACACTATTTTTAGAGGTTTTTTAATATGTAATTTCACTATAGTAAAGCTGCATTGTGTAATTTATCTGATGGGGACGTGAGGGGGGCATGTCATATGTTCCATCTATAGTGCA